ATTTTTGTATATTTAGTTTCATACGGGAAATTCTATACTAATTGTTAATTTTTCTTTTTCAATGGTGATGTTTCTTATACTGAAGCTTCTTCATATGCCGTGTAGATTTTCGAACTCCTATGCCATGCTTGTCTAAAGTGATGATTTAGATATCAATGAACATTGTCTGTGCATATTTGATAAATTTTTAAGTCGGGAATTTCGTTACCACAAATGACTTAACTCATGTAACGAATCCTTTCATAGATGCACAATGTAGAGAGGCTTGCCTTGAAAGGTCGGCTGTATCTGTTGGAATCTTATAACACATTAGATATCATATCCTCCTTTTCGCGGTGATGTTGTTTATGATGCTAAAAAAATCAAGACACGATTCATATACACATTGTACGTTTCAATTATCTGATTCTTAACGTCATCAATTAACCAATGAAAATAGTTTCTATATGTACCAATTTAGTTGTTTTTATAAATAATTACATATATATGTGTTTGCTTCCCCGGTATTACCACTAATGGTCCTATATCCTATCGATACTTATCAATTATTGGCTTGCTCAAGGTTATGCTTTTCTCAGACGGTTCATGACGTCTTAACACCGTCGGAGATGTACTCATTGACAATTTAATCTAGAAGAATATTATATTTATAAGGTGAAATTTAGCTTTAAAAGAACTAGCTTTTAGAAATGGTCAGTTTTGCAAGCTCGGAAATTTTGTGCCGATCTGAGGACTTTTACGGTTCTTAAGTTAAGCGGTTATGAGTGCTCCCAAACATGTTAAATCCCGCCACATTCGTCATCTGCCTGAAATAAACATGTAATGCAGTGGTTTTCATTGCTATTTTCAATTTTTGGGATGGTTTATTATTATACTAGTAGTATACCATGTATACATCAGGCTGTTGGTTTTTTTCCCTTGAATTGTGTCACATTCCGTCATACCACGACTATTTAGACCATACTATACTGCATAGATTAAACTCGTGGTTGAAAGCGGTACGTCGACCTATCCAAATAAACATGCATATTATAAAGTTCTACACATTTCTACCATATAGTTGTAACAACTATATGCTTTAATGTGTTATCAATTATAAGTAAAAATGGTAATAGTTCAAATGAAGGTGATGTACGATAACACTTGTCAGTTTTAATAAATAGTATAGATCATATATACCAACGTTGTCAGATTAAGACTTAATTATATGACCTTCAATTTGACATGCATGTGCGTCAGTCGGGTAAGAATCTTCTGCGCCGCGTGGGGAAAAATGGTTAAAACCCACTACAATTTTGCCTGTACCTGTTCGGGCTATCTGTATCATGACTGTGTTTTTCATGTCAGATTTGGGTGTTTGCGGTTGGTTGGTATGTTGTACTGTTCAATATTTTTGATAGTTTCTGTAATCCTCTTTACATATCAAATATATATCTCAAGTAAACATAATTGTTTTTTACTAAAGTGATTTCCTCTCCTTTCTATGGTTTGTTTAGTATTGTTTGATATGCATTGTAAGTACAAACAGAGTTTGTTCTGTAGGCAAACACAGGAACAAGTTATAAGAATAACGACTGTTTGTTGAAGTATGCAACTCCTAAAAATTTCACAACTATGTTGCAGTTTCAAAAAATCTAGTTAAAATAAAACGTCACGCATCAATCCGGATTTTTCAAATCTGTACATATATCTGTCACGCATTTATATAAGCAACAGTAGGTTATCGATGTTCAAATCTCACAAAGCGATTAAGAAGACACATGAAATTAACTAACACAAACTGAGGGATTCGCATGAACTCCAAAAGGAGCGAAACTTGGTGCGTCAACAGGGTAAAAAACTCATCAAACATACCAGGCCTGTAAACGGCTCCTGCTATACATGCATCACCCGCCATACGAACCCCCACTCAGTCAAAAGGTCACAATCGGTAAAAGTACAGAATAAACGACTAATCTGGTATCTAAAGACGACTATATGTCGCTAGTGGGTTGAGAAACAGATGTATCGTATCGACCAACTACTTCGTGCTTGTAACCGTAAAAACTGCTGAGAAGTGTGAAGTTGAAATCACTTGGTTTGTCATATATAAGTAGTCTGTTTGAAGTCGTTCATCTGTGACATTATCGAGATATGAAGCAAATGTTTTAGTCGCGGCAGTATCCTTAATTTTGAGTTCACTTGGATAAATAAGATGCAAACACTCACTGAAATCTTGGTTATTCAGTGACATGACGTCATCAATATTTTTGATGTGAAATTAAAGAACATTGCAAGATTTTTTTATTCTTTTTTTTTGTCTTTGAGCAGGTTTTGTATGAATTCTGCTTTATATGAGTACAAGAACAAGTCAGTATGTAGGGATGTACTATATTACTAACCATAGGAATGCCGACTGTTTGTTTAAATATCATTCCACCATACTCAACAAAAATCAACAAAAAACATCTTCGATTCTAAACAAAGTAACATTTTTTCGTACAATGCATTTGTATCTACGATTCCCAGGTTTGTAGGAAAACTTTGTTTAGTGGAGACGATGTATTCGACATTTCAATTGAGCATTGGAAATAGTCTTGCAAAACGTAGAAAAATAAAATTGGACTGAAACTTACTTGTTATTTAGAATAGTTTACACATAATGTACTGTTTAGTGAAAAATAATGATTTTATCATGTGTAATTGTGTTGCATTTCTCTGGTGTATTGTATGTTATAAGTGTCCATTATTGCAGACATTATTTACAGATATAAGAATAATCATTTAAACATCATGTATAATCATTTCTCTACAATTCGCTTGCGGTCATGTCAGTATGCTAAAGTTTATTGTAAACCATCCAAATATTTCCCTATGGTATTAGTTGAGGAAAATTCATTAAAACGTTGATATAATGACAAAATAAAACGATACATATTCTTGCATGACTCGTTGGACAATTGACGTACCTGTAGACAATATCATCAATTCTGGAAACATACTGACATTTACTGGTACTCTTTGACCTATAGTTTCACAACGCCTCTCTAAATCCATTTTCATATATTTCAATTTGTCGGAACAATTACATATACTGATTTGTGGTTTTATGTATATTTCAAACTACAAAAAGGACAAACATGATCAGAATGAAATATTTGGAACGTCTTGCGCTATGTTTCTGGGTATAAGTCAAGAACATTTTGATATTTTAATAAAGGACAGATAGGTTCTGTATTAGCTTTTTCTATTTTAACATATAGTGATTTGATGTCTTTTTTCTGGTTTTAATATCATTTTCACGTATTTTAAAAGATTATTTTTTGTATACATTACAAATTAATATTCCCTTTACACGTTCCCTGTACGTCTTCAAATCAAATTAAGGAGCATATCAAATATTTAAAATAAAAAAAAAAACAAAGATTGTAGAGATCGATGGTAACCTTTTATCTTTTATTTTTAATCATGACAGTTTATGAACGGTATTTGGGGAATGAATGCGTAGCTTTCAGCTTAAAAAATAATATTTGGTAATGTTTGAAAAAATTTCCAGAGTTGCTTTGTTGTTTATTAAAAATGTGAACATTGCATGTATAATGTACTGTAACAGTTAGTGTCCGTTAAGTAATATAGAGTTCACTGAACATTAAATTATGTTAAACGAATGCATAAATGAGAACTGTATGCAATAATATTTAACATGGAAAACTACACAAAGCAATAAAATAAGAAAACAATCTAACATTGTTTATATAATTAGGATTGAAAACTGCGAAGCACAAAACAGTCATCTAAACTATTCCATAGAGATAAAAATGCTTTGCAAAATCGGGACAAAAATAAAAAATGTCGCCTTTTATTTCAATCCACTTCCAGTGTATTGTCAAACATTTTTAAGAGGTAAATACTAAGTGTGTGGCGTGATTCTTGTGAAGAACGTTCAAATTAAGTTATGATAATTTCGAAAATAAAATGCAATTAACTCATTAAAAAGTGTTTTTGAGTTTATTCATTTATACAACCCCGGAAAAATCATTTGCTCCTTGTGATTCTTTCAATTTCCCTTTTTCGACAACCATCAGCTGTATGTATTTTTACAAGTTGTGCAAGTAACATGAATGTACATTTGGCTCTCTCCCTTATTGTTATTGTGAGTGTAAATCACAAAAAAGCGCATCATATTCGTCATATTTTTTTACTTGATTAGAATAAGAAATACAATATCTTAATCGAAAAGTGTCTGTTACCTCAGATGGTGCCATTAAAACAAAATACATATATGGTTTGGCGATATCTGGCCACAGCTTTTATTCATAATATAGATTCATATGATATATATATATATATAGATAGATAGATGTATATGTAGATAGATATATGGTTGGTTACCCGAAGATAATATGGCAACCTTGCTGTAAAATGCAGATAGATAGATAGATATATATGAAAATGTAAAGATGCACCGTGTGATACACTGGTTCTTCAAATTTAGAAAACACCGTTGGATACACAAGTGTAGTCTGTATCATCCAAAAACCTAAAATTTCATAGTTAACATTAAGATTCTATGCAGCGAATTCTGCCACATTGACGGAGGAAAACAGAGACTCTGTCAACCGCCATAAAAAGGGCGGTTCGCTGCAAAGCTGTGAACCAGATATGAGATAACTACAGATAGATAGATAGATATTTTTATTCAAAGTACAACTTGGTACATATATATGTTAAATAATCTATATGATGTTTTGTGAACAACTGTTCAAAAACATATTTACCTACACAGATAAAAATACTAACCAAAACTACACCAAACCATAAGATATATGATTGTATTTGTATACCATTAAACATAGTATATTATAGTATATCATCAAATATATATTCAAGATGTTTAACAATTCATTTCATAAGCATGTTAAGGGTGACAAGTGAAAAACATCCAGTTGAAAAATTTCTGGTCTGATCGAAAATTATAATATTTTATGTAGCAACCCTGACAACTAATTACAAAGGCAATAATATAGTTGTATATTCTACAGCAACACAAGTCCATGCTTTGCAATAACCTGGTCAAATTTGAGACCATACTTACTTAAGAATTGATGAACCGCATAATCCATCTGATCATGTTCTTCGTCTCATTGTGCAAAAATCCCACTCTAGAACTACCTGTGTCATTACCTGCTACATGTTTTATTAAGAAATATGGTGGATCCTCATAGTTTCATGTTCTGAGTTAACTTTCAACATGCTTGACAATCATGCCACTACAAAGATTCATTTCCGTGCCTAGACCTAAGTCAACCCCATCTGGAGGATGTCGGTCTGCTACGAAAACATACTTACTATTGAGGATTCTACTATCCAAACATTAAAGCTAATAGGATCTCCTAAAGTTCTTGTACAGCAAATAGCTACATGGAAGTATATGTTACATATGTAATACCAATACAATTTAAAGCATAATTAATCGAGAAAAAAAATAATTCTTCTGTAACCCCTGTATTAAGTTGTCAGCATTGGATCTCCGACCCTTTAATAATCCTCAAAAAATTGAAAAGACAGCTTCAAACACACTGAATTCATACCAAGTTTAGCCAACAACAAGATAAGAAAATATTTGCTAGACTTCAGCATGACTCTGGTTAAGGTAAATGTAAAGGCCTGGAGTGTTTAATACCTTCTTAAAAACTGACAAACCTCAATTTTTTATTTTTTTTGGACACATCTGTTAAATTTTCCTAAAAAAATATCCAAACCTAGTAAAAGTAATGTCACAATTTTTGTTGAGAGAGATACAAAATGTACAAGTAAGCAATACCTTAACAATCCATAGAGAGAGATAGGAAATGTATTCATTAAAACAATTAGAGATCTGAACTCATGAAAAAAGAAAGACTGTCCTCTCTGATAAATCTGTATGTACTGGGTGCTGTGGAACTTACAATTAAACGGTTACTAAAGGTCTGAAATAACAGTAATAAAACCCGTGGGGTAATAGCAGGATAAACATCTGCAGTTGGGACCAAGCATCTGAAGCGATCCACCTAAAAACCAGAAATGGCTTCAGCCAAAATTTGTACCAGAACAGTGATAATGAATGTCATACTAAACTCCCAAATATATGAACTAAAATAAAAATTCATACAAGGCTAACATAGGCCAGAGGCTCCAGACTTGGAACAGGTACTAAACTGCGGAGGGGTTAAACAAGTTATTTAAAATCTCAACCAAATGCAGAACAAACAAACACACAGCAATACGCACAGTAAAAATCACACAGTTTAAAGAAGTCCGAGTCCAATATCAGAATAGGTAACAAAACAAACAAAACAAAAATGGAAAAATGACGACATTACATAAATCAACAATGGACTACTAACAGTTACTGACATGCCAGCTCCAGACCTCAATTTAACTGGTCGAAAGATTATGTCTTCATTATATGAAATATCTAGCACCATCCCTCCAATGGGGGTTTAGTATCATATCATCATAACATATATTACAGGAACATAACCCAGCAACTGGTTTAGGAATAAATGAGTTTTTGTCCGATGCAAAGACTGTGCAAGTGAATTAATATTGAAGCCAAAATATGCCATTTTTTATGCAGGCAACAGTTTTCCTTCTTTATAAGTTTGCTTTAATGTTTTGTTAGCTTTTGAGGTAAACTGACATTTTGTACTTTGTAAAGTATATTACCATAAAAGATTGGATGGGAAATACCTGAATGTGTAAGATGTCTATGTAGAAGTGAATTTCTTATAATGTATAAAACTGCCCATAAATACAAGGCAAGAAGAACTGGATCAACTCAGGCAAATGCAAATTTCAAAGAATGACTATGAGGACCTGTATACTAGAGTCTAAATCCATGTAAGAAGAAACAAACATTTAGTATAACAGCAGCAACCACTCTCTGTCTCGTCTTGGGTTTGAACCAGGTTGCCCAAATGAAAACTTATTTCCATTTGAGGTCTAGGTGACCTGAAACTTTGATTATCATAAGAAGGCCTAGATTATGCAAAGTAAGCATGGTAAATGTTGTCCTAACAAAAACAAACAAGCTGCTTAACAACATCTAGGTACCCTCATAATTAAAAGCATAACATTTCAAATTAGTCCCAGTGTTCATGCTAACTGAAATTCAACCTGTACTATAATTTTCATTAATAAATATCAACCATAATTTGGAATCAACAGTAGCCCAGCAACCAGTAGGGCCAATGATTTTATGCAAATGAAATTGTTGTCATAATGCTTCCAGCCTAAAATTAACAAAGCTTGGCACCTAAATGTACAGCGTATTTAAGATACTCATCTATTTGAGCAACTCCTAGAATCTTCCAGGATGAAGATTACAATAAATTCTAGTATATATATAAATTAAAGCTGTTGTCGACACCTAAATACTAAAGATTTTTAACTGGTTTATAGCAGACTGCATGACAAGCTGTAAATAATTACTTAAATTGTACTAGTTTGTGCTAATATTACATGTACATACATGTATATATCCTCGCTTATCTGCGTCTGACAATTTACACAAAACTCTGTAATTGTTATATGTTAGAATCACATGTACATGTAGGGGTTTAACTTGAAAGTAATATACTGCTTTTGTAAATCTGATGATTACCTGGTAAATTATCAACTGTGAACTGGAACATACTAATGCAGAGCTCTGGGGGTTTGCATAAATGACGTCTGATGATGATCCAATGTACAAATGTATGTGACCTAAAGGAGTAGAGTTAGTGGCGTGATGAGTCGTGAATCCAGTTCAGTCTGGTGACCCATTTGTAAAAACTGGTGTGTCATTGTTGTCTATGTCTCTGGTCCAACTGTTACAACCCTGGTGGTGTTCTGTGGCAGAGCAAGGTCGCACTTTTCGCTTTCTAACTGATCTTCCCAACATTGTGCTACAACTCAACAAAAAGTAAATATTAGTTCCACCATGCTACAGCATTGACATAACAAAATCAAATGACTGTACAAAGAAACAATAACAATAAAAATATTACGTATACTCCTAGTTGTGTCGAAGATAGTTACAATAATTAAAAAAAAAATAATTTAAAATTAGTATATATACATGAAATATATATTTATTAATTCTTAAATCCATAGTCAGTTGATAGTGACATAGTGTAATATTTGTATATAATTAAGTTATAACAACAATAATTTAAGCTGTGGCCTGTTGATGACATTATGACTAAATTTGTGATTTATCTGAACTATTCATACCATATCGACCTAGTCTAGGCTAGAGAGTAGTAGCAACTATACATGTCACTGTGATGACTGATGTGACAGACTCGACACTCTGACAGTTTTTAGAAACAAGTGTGTAGGTACACGCAAAATTTATAGCAGGATATATACAGATAATGATATAAGTTTGCTTAACTCCACCAGCAAGCTAACATTTAGACATGACGATTTTTGGCTACTGCTTCTTCACTCCGGGCATGGTCTTTGTGCAAGATTTCCAAGATTTTTGTTTATTTGTAAAGTTGAACTTCCGGCTACGAACCTGGGTCCTTTCGCCCCAAAGGGTACGTCCCTTTTACATCTTTGTACGTTCATATCCTTTCATGGAATATTTGCTGTATATGTGCTATGAAAGATCTAGATACACAATTACCGATGTATACCCTTTTAAGGAAAATTTAATTATAATTCGGGAGTTCATCAAATAACGCCTGCCCCACAACACATAAACATTAAAGACACGTTACTAACCTGCATGATCTGTTACAGCGCAAATACAATTGTTAAGCCACATGAGTTTGAAATCCTAGCAATAACGGTGTAAAAATGTGCCAAACTCGACTATCACAGTAGTTGTCATATATATATATATATATGAGTACCTTAATATCAGTATCAGGCAGACTATATACATGCATCTAATTTGATGTAGAAATACAATGACGAAATCGTTATTATAATCTGCAAATCTTAGGACAATAATGCATCTAATTACTCATATTTGTAAAAATTAAATAATTTATAAAAATGAAAACGAACAATGGGACCAATCTCTTTCAGTCTTTGCATGTGCTCTCCACGTGGCGTTGAAATTCCTGATGGAATATGGTTTAAAAAATGACGATCGATAAAATGAATTCTTTCTAAGATTACTTCTAATAAACATTGGAAGCATGAGGCAGGTTATAACCATACAATACAAACACTACTTTACCATTTACAAGATACTACTTTTCATTTTTTTCAATTTTACCGCTTACGAAATTTAAACAGCTTGCTTGCTGCGATGAAATTCTTTAAAGGACTAAATTACGTCACAGAATATAACGTCACTCATGTTAGGTAAATCTAAAACATGAAACACAATCCGTCAGTGGCCCCAGCTATAACTGAATTTAAGTCTATGTACTTAAATTCCATTATAACAGTTTGTTTGTAAATAAAAAAAGGAAAACTTAATTTAAATTCCATATTAAAATTAAATTAAATTCCAAAATGTTTCTTTCTTTTTTCCCTATGGCTACATGTACATAGTATTACATAATAGCTTTCCAAATACAATATCAATATTAATCATTTGTAATAAATCTACAGAAAATACCGTATGTTAACTTTGATTTTTTATACTAAATTATACGAATTAATCATAAAATATAGCAAATTCGATCTAGTTCCAAAGGCAGTGACAGGATAACAAATGGCGCAATTGAATTTGTTTGCACAGTTTTTGTAATGAATAATTATGGATTTTGGTCACGTAAATATTGATGGTTTAAAAATAATTATCTAAATACAGTTGTACACGTTATAGTTTGCATTGACAATATTTTAACAGAATTGTATTCCAACCAAGTAAAAATGTTATATTGTATATACATACATTTTGAACTGATTCTTTGAGTGTAAACATATATAAGCACTCCAACTGAAACCTCATTACTTTCATTCACTGAAATATTTTAATATAATGTACACTTCATGTTCAAATATTTCAGTAATGTGCATTTCTTTCTTTTTTTTCATTTTTTTTTTTTTTTTTTTTGCATTTCAGATATCCTGAAGAGAACCACGGACACAACAAAATTTGCTTTGTTTTCATTATTATAAATATCCATTAACCGGACCTTAAAATAATAAACTGCAAAAATGTTAATTATTATAAACAGGAAGTTTCAATGTCCAATTTTCGAGTTTTTGGAGCTTCTTTTTTCGAGTTGTAACTAACTAAATACAACCACCTGCTTACGGAGTTTAATTGACCTCGATAGCAAATCTTGTCTAAAATATTATAATATTGCAGGAGTAATGTAACAGACACTTCTCAGTTCATTCAGGGCTACAATAGTTTTGTGTCAGTACTAATATGTTCTAGTATTCGTCACGTACGCGTATTGGTGTAACATTGAAATGTTCTAAAATGTATTACCAGTACAGTAGTCCGACATCTGTCCTAAAATACGTTATTATGTATTCTCTGTAAAATTATTGTTAATCTTATTGATTTTGGATTATAATCAAAAGGTAAGGTATTATATGTTTCTTGTTATCCAAATAGAATGTTTATTGTCTTTCATAATATTTCGTGAATTTTGTTTTATGATTTAAAGTTTTAAAATTTAAGTGAAATTTTAGATTTTTCTTAACGGACGCAGAGGTGTCAATTTTAAATTTGCACGTGTAGTATCTCATTTTATAGATACATTAGTTATTATTCTATACATTATGCTTCACAACTATATATGTATTTATATATATATATTTTAATCTAGCACATTTTATAGAAATTTTTGAAATTTGCGAATTAAGATTACTTTTGCGTTCTTTCACATGTCTGTTTACTTCAAAGTATAATTCAAATTCGTTTTTAAAGATAGTGTATATGTCGGTGGATTTTGTTCTTTGTTCTGATGTGTAAAATGATTTTTAAATTGAGAAACCTATCAAAGTTATAATAAGATTTATATCATTATAATGTCGGTCTCCGATTTTATATCCAAAGACTATATCTATTAGGGTTATTTTCTTACAAAAGTTTATGTTTTTCATTTTTTCTGTTATTTTTAATCCAAAAGTCTTTTACAAATCTACAGTCGTTAAAAAATGTTGATAATTATCTGTGCATTTACATAAAGCACACTCTGGGGTATTTGATATTTTCCATTTGAAAAGATTTTCTTGGTTCGGTAATATATAGCTAAATAATTTCCATTTATAAACTTTAAGTTTGTTTATGTATATTTCATTGTTTGTAAAGGATAAGGATTGTCTAATTTGTAATTGTTTTGCGTCTAATATTCTTTGCCATTTTATTATTCCAATGTTAGGAGTTATTTTATTTTTTATGAAATATTGATAGACGGTTTTATTGTTTAGGTCTGATAAATTTATTTCTGTTTTATTCATTCCAATTAATTTTTCGTTAATATTAACTCGGGTTTTAACAGAGTTATTTGTTTTAAGGATATCTGTCCAACTTCTTGGTATAGCTTTTTTTAGTATTGATAGTTCGGCTATCCAGTTGTGTTTTATTTCTAACTTTCGCAGTATTGTCTTTTCATCGATTTGACCGTTTTCGTCATATATACATTAATATAGATTATGTTGCTTTTGATCCAGCTAAACACCAATAAAGGTTTATTTTTTATTTTTATGTTTTTATTACCGCATATAATTTCTTTGCGTATATCTCTAAAGTTAGTGGGCGATTTAGTTTGACCTCCACCTTTAAGTATCCAGCACTTTACAATATCTAGATAAAATTCTGGTAATCTAGTTGTAATTTTAAGTGGTTTTAAATTATTAATTTCTAAATTCATTTTAAAGATAAGGAAGTTTTCACCATATTTATCAAAAAAGAATCTTGGAATAATTGACCAATTTTCATGTTTTGACTCTATTTATCTTGATACCCATTTAATTTTAAGTGTGTTCAAGTAACTGTCGATATCAATCATATTGAGTCCTCCTTTGCTGTAATCTGATATAAGAGTTGATCGTTTTACTTTATCTTGTTTTCCGTCCCAAATAAAATTAAAAATTTCTCTTTCTAAACTGCAAATATACGTTTTATTTATGACTGTCATACTTGCTAAATATGTGAATTGTGGAATTATAAGTGATTTGATTATTAAAATTTTACCGATGATAGTAAGATGTCTTTTTTCCCATGATTTCATAAGTTTTTTTGCTTTTTCAAGCTTGTTTTCCCAATTTAGTTTTGCGCATTCTGTTTTATTTGTACCGAAATACAAGCCTAACACTTTAACGGGTTTATCTGTGAATTTTATATTATCTACTTTTTCTTTACAATTTTTCAGTTTTCCTATCCAAATGCCTTCCGTTTTATTTTTATTTAATTTAAGACCAGAAAATGTGCCAAATATTTCAATAACGTTTAATGCTGCTATAGTTTCATTTTTTGATTTGAGAAACAAAGTGGTGTCATCTGCTAACTGGGAAATTTTCAAATTATGTTTTGAATGGTCAAGTTTTATTTCAATGCCTTTAATGTTATTATCATTTCTTAATTTACATGCCATGATTTCTACTGCGATCACGAAGATCATGGAAGAACAAGGACATCCCTGACGTACCCCCCTTTTTAGACTAATTGGTGAAGAAATCCATCCATTATTGAACACTGAGCTATTTATATCAGAATATAACGTCTTGATCCAGTTTATAAATGAACTATTAAAGCCGAAATATTCGAGAGTTTGGTACATAAAGGACCATTTTAAAGTATCAAATGCTTTTGAAAAATCTAGAAACAAAATTGCACCTTCAACATTAAATTTATCGGCGTAATCTATGATATCTTGTATTTGTCTGAGATTGAAACCAATATATCGTTTTTTTATATACCCTATTTGGTCTGCGTTTATAATTAGATTTAGTACATTTTTTTTTCTTTGAGCTAATGTGTATGATAATATTTTATAATCTGAATTTAATAAGGAAATTGGCCTATAATTTGAAAGATCTAGTGGATCATTCTTCTTGTATATTAGATTTAGAATACTTTGTCTTTGGGAAAATGGTAGCTTTTGCCTGTCATAGCTTTAAAATTATTGTTTATAAATGTAAAATATTTCCAAAAACTTCACCAAGACATATACAGCCTGAACTAAATTCAGCAATTTGGGAATATTCAATGTTCTTTTACTTCGCTAAAATCGAAACGGTTAGAATGCCAAATCCAAAACCCATGTAATCTAATGTTTACGAAACGCGTCTGGCGTACTTAATTTAAAGCCTGGCATTTTTTTTACTTTTGATCCTCATTCTATCGTTGGATTTGACTCTTCCTTGGTTTAGCTGCTACAAATCTAGATATTATGATTGATTTTTTTTTCCGGTACACTTGATATCATTCTAGCTACACTACAGTAAGCTTAAAGACGCAGGTTAGGGTAAGAATGAAGCTGTATATTCCAGAGTTGTTGTTTTTTCATGGTGTTTCATACATGT